CTCTGATCGCCTCAGCTCAGCTCAGCTCAGCTGCTCCCCGGGCAGCCGCGTCCCCTCGGGCTCTGGGACGTGAACTCATCGGCCTGTGATTCGCCCCGTAAACCCGCCGGTCCCCCACGGACGCGGTGGGGTCTGTGCGAGGGCGGAGGGAGCCCCGGTCCCGTCTCCCTGTGCACAGCAGACATCGCCGGGGGGGGGGGGTCCCCAAAGGGCTCCGTCTGGGGGGACAGTGAGGGCGAGCCCCTCGGGAAGCGGCGGGGCTGCGGCTCGGTCCCGGGACCCTGACCCGCTGTCCTCTCTGAGCCGCACCCCCTCCCGTCCCAGCTCTGCCTCGCGGGGCAAACTGTCTGCAGACCGGCTGCTCCCCCCCCCCTCCAGCCTCGGTTTCCCTCCTGCGTCTCCGGAAGGTGAGTGTCCCGTAGAGCAGTTCCTGCGACCGAGGCGCTGGCCGCGTCCTTAGGGAAGACGGTGACAGCGCCCGCAGCCCATCAGCCCCGAGGCTCAGTGTATGTGTGTGTGTGTGTGTGGGGGGGTGTTGAAAAGATGCACCTTTTTATCTATCTTTCCTTTAAAGCTCTTGGAGAGGAAGGGAGAGGGAGAGAGAAACATCCATGAGGAGAGAGAACCATGGACCGGCTGCCTCCTGCACAGCCCCCGCTGGGGATGGAGCCCACAGCCCAGGCCTGTGCCCTGCAGGAATTGAACCTGAGACCCTTCAGTCCGCAGACGGACGCTCTAACCCCTGAGCACACCGGCCAGGGCGGATTGTGTTTCTTGTCATCCTGTCTAAGAAAAGAGTGATGTGCCAATTGACCATCACCCCAACACACAAGATGGCTGCCCCCTTGTGGACACAAGATGGCTGCCACAAGATGGCGGGCAGGGGAGGGCAGGTGCGGGGGACCCAAGCCTCCAGGGGACGGTGGTTGGGAGGGACCAGGCCTGCAGGGGAGGGTGGCTGGGAGGGACCAGGCCTGCAGGGGAGGGCAGTTGGAGGCAATCAGACTAGCAAGGGAGGGCAGTTGTGGGGGACCCCGGTCTGCAGGGGAGGGCAGTTGTGGGCAACCAGGGAGCATTTGGGCATCCATCAGGCTGGCAGGCAGAAGCAGTCAGGGGCCATCAGGCAGGCAGGCGGGTGTTAGGAGCCAGCAGTCCTGGGTTGTGAGGGGTCCCAGACTGGAGAGGGTGCAGGCTGGGCTGAGGGACACCCCGCCACCCACCCTGTGCAGGAACCTCATGCCCAGACCTCTGGTGGCCTCTAAAGCAGGACTATGCCCTCCCCGTCTCCGCGGCAGGATCTGGAACACCCGCCCCGGTCCGCGCTGAAGGATGACCGGCCTGGCCGGCCCCCCGCGTGGGGGAGGGTCCCGTTCGCGGAGCTGACGGATGTTCCCGGCGTGGACGCGAGCCAGGCCTGGCTCTCGGGAGAAGGATGCGGCGGGGATTGGCCTGCAGACGCCGCTAATTACCTCCCCCATTAGCCGGCGGTAATCGCCGCTTGGTGCCCGTAAGGAAACCCCGCCGGCGCCATAAGGCGGGCGGCCTGTTTAATGGTCTCATTAGGACGCGGCGAGGCAGCCGCAGACAAGGGAGCGAGGAAGCAGCGTGAACGGAGACGCGGACGCAGTTGGTGAGACTGACGTGTGACGGAGGGATGTCCACAGCCCCCATGCGTGCCCCGGCCCGTGTGGCTCCACGGGTAGAGCGTCCGCCTGCAGACAGAAAGGTCCCGGGTTCGATTCCGGTCAAGGGCATGTGCCCGGGTTGCAGGCTCCTGGCCGGCCCGGGCCCCGGTCGGGGCGCCTTCAGGAGTCACGTGATGGATGGGCGTCTCTCTCACGTCGATGTTTCTCTGTGTCTCTCCCTCCCTCCTCCCCTCTCCCGAACAGTCTGCGGGAAGATATCTCCGGGTGAGAATTCACAAAACAAACAGGCAGGCAGCCCCGGCGAGCGAAGCTCTGAGGGACACGCGCCCGCACACACGCTCCCCCGGAGCCCACAGAGCCGGCGGGGGCTGCCGACAGCTCACACCGGCCTCCTGCGGACGGCGAAGCCACCACACAGCGTCTGTCCTTCTCCAAAGCACAGCAAACAGACAAAAACAAAACGAGCCGAAACCGGTGCGGCACGGTGGATAGAGCGTCGGTCTGCGGACTGAAGGGTCCCGGGTTCGATTCCCGTCAAGGGCACATACCTCGGTTGCAGACACAACCCCAGTAAGGGGTGTGCAGGAGGCACCGGATCAATGTTTCTCTCTCGTCGACGTTTCTAACTCTCTGTCCCTCTCCCTTCCTCTCTGTAAAAATCAATAATATGTATATATATATATATATACACTTTTAAATCCCTTTCTGGCCCGGCCAGTATGGCTAGGTGGTGGAGCACTGACCTGTGAACGGGGAGGCCATGGTTAGAGTCCTGATCAGGGCACCATCCCCAGTAGGGGGCGTGCAGGAGGCAGCGGATGGATGTTTCTCTCTCATCGATGTTTCCAGCTCTCTATCCCTCTCCCTTCCCCTCTGTTAAAAAAAAAAAAAAAATCAATAAAATATATATTTTTAAAAAATTAAAAAAGAAAATGAAACGAGCCCTCTTCACAAGAAGCCCGCCTGGAGGCGACCTGGGGGTGACCTTGGGGAGCGCCCGGCCGGCTCCCTCCCCGCGGGGAGCAGGGCTCTCCCCGGAACCGGTCCATCTGGCCGCGGCTCTCGGAGGAAATAAATGAACCGCGTCATGTCGGAGAGACACAGCAGAGCGCGAGGTCACGATCAGGGCTGCCAACCGGCACCGGTTACAGCTCCCCGCGGGCCCTCGGGCACCAGGCCCTCTGTGAATGCCACGGCCAGCCCCGGGCACCAGCGGCCCCGCCCTCAGACCGGCTTCTGCTCGGCCCCGGCCGCCCCTGGGCAAAGCTGCCCCACGTGGGTCCCTCCGGGCCTGGGTGGACAGGGCCCGGCTGAGTCTGCCTGCATCTGCCTCCGGGACCTGCTGGCACACCCGGAGCGCTGGCTGCCATCCCCTCCGGGCGGGGAGATGACGAAGGAAAAACTTCCTCCCCGGGATCGCCCCGTCGGGGAAAGTCCTGCAGCTGAAAAGAGGTGGGGACACGGCTCCACGGCGGAGCATGGCCTCTGAGCCAGGCGGTCCGGGTTCGATTCCCAGTCAGGGCCCAGGCCCGGGCTGCGGGCTCCCTCCCCAGTGGGGGGCGTGCAGGAGGCAGCCGATCCGTGATTCTCTCTCCCCTTAGATATTTCCATTTCTCTCTCCCTCTTCCTCCCTGACATCAATTTAAAAAAAAAGTATTTAAAAAGAATTGGGATCTCCTGTGTAGGGAACCAGGAAGTAGATAGAGGGCAGCTGCGGAGGGCGGGGCTGGGCGGGGCGGGGCGGAGCTTCCCGCCGGAGGCAGAGAAGGTTCTGGAGCTGCGGTGGGCAGGGTGCGGGCACATCTAACGTGAAGGAGCCGCTCCTATCCCCCCGCTCCCCTCCCCTGTCCCCCTCCGGCGCGGGAGCGCACCTGTCATCACCAGGCAGCCATCGCGGCCCCTGTCATCACTGAGACGAACTCCCGGCGACCCCTGGCCCCTGAGGGTCACCCCCGTCAGCGTTCCCAGCGGACACACCGGGCGGGGCCCACGGGTCACGGGAAACGGGCCCGGCGCCGTGAGGTCACACCAGCCGCCCCCCCCCTCGTGCCGCTCCCGCCCGGGGGGAAGGCGGGGCCCACGCTGTGCGGGCTGCCGAGGAGGCGGGAGCCTGGTGTCCGCACAGACACCGCGGTGTGGGCCCCGGGGGCGAGCCCGTCCGTGTGGCACAAACACCCCGAGGCAGACAGACCGACGGCCGGAGCCTCTCGGAGGAGACACACGCACACGGATGACCCGGGAGCGCCAGCAGAAAGGGAGTCCTCACAGGAATAAGACATTTCCCCTGAAATCAATGCACGGAGCGGCCGGATGGTGACGGTCTCTGGAGGCACAATCATCTGGCCGCGCTGTGTGTGTGTGTGTGTGTGTGCGTGTGTGTGTGTGTGCGTGTGTGTGTGTGTGTGTGTGAGTGTGTGTGTGAGTGTGTGTGTGTGTGCGTGTGTGTGTGAGTGTGTGAGTGTGTGTGTGTGCGTGTGTGTGTGTGTGTGTGTGCGTGTGTGTGTGTGTGTGTGAGTGTGTGAGTGTGTGTGTGTGTGAGTGTGTGAGTGTGTGTGTGTGAGTGTGTGAGTGTGTGTGTGTGTGAGTGTGTGTGTGTGTGTGTGTGAGTGTGTGTGTGTGTGTGCGTGTGTGTGTGAGTGTGTGAGTGTGTGTGTGCATGTGTGTGTGTGTGTGTGTGTGTGCGTGTGTGTGTGTGTGTGTGTCACAGGCCCGGTGCATGAATGCGAGCGTGGGCGGGCTCCGGCCAGCCTGGCCGGGGGAGGGGACGTGGGCGGTCGGCCGGCCTGCCTGCTGGTCGAGGGACCATTGGCATAGGAGCCTTTTATTCTATAGGACGGACACGGAGTGGCCAGGTGATTATGGATTCAGAGATCACAATAGTCTGGCTTCTCTTGAAACAACAGGAGATCCTAGGAATTCAGAGCATGGGTTTCCTGCATGCAACCCCTGGCCGTATCTGCCACACCAGGCCACGCCTCCTGCCACGCCAGGCCACGCCTCCGGCCAGGCCAGGCCACGCCTCCAGCCACGCCAGGCCACACCTCCTGCGAGTGTCACTCACAGGCCGCTTGGCCTCTGCGGGTGCATGTGTGTGAGGCCCCCATGCAGTCACGTGGCGTGATGCAGACATCCACTCATTATCGATCCTTCCGCCACAGAAGGCCCAGCCCTCACCCCTGGAGTCTGGTTACCTCCCTCACAAGGCGCCATGCCTCCACTGGCAGAGAAAGCGTTTCTGAGTTGGCTCCCCTGGCCCCGCCTCCCCGTTTCCCACGGACGCCTCCGCCCACGCCCGGGTCGCCGTGGAGCCCCCCTGACCCCGAGTCCCGTGGCCCGGCCCGGGGACGCGCTCACCGTGGCCAGGGGCACGATGCCCACCAGGTCCTGGTGGCTCACGTAGATCTTGGAGACGCCCAGGTCCGACACCACGTCGCCCGGGTACTCCACCTGCCACGTGACCAGCTGCGTGGCCGGCGGGTCGCCGGGCGCTTCGATCTCCACGTCCACCTGCATGACCTCCTGGGTGGCGCCGGCGGCCCTGGGGAGAGGGGGCTCTTAGGGGCGGGCAGGAGGCGGTGGTCCACGGTTCCCTCTCCTCAGGTCCTTTCTCCCCTCCCTTCCTCTCTGGAATGAGGATGAAAAGAGGGGTTCCTTCCTGGCCCCCTTCACTGAGCACTGCTCGGTGCTGCCTCCAGCCTGCCTCACACGGACGGCGCCGGTGACCTCTGAACACGGGGTGTTCTCCTCCGAGACAGACCCAGCATTTCGGGGTGACAGAGGGGAGGCAGGAACGTGGGGGGAGGGGTGCAGAATCAGGAGACACACAGGCCTCTGTGCTGGGGCAGCGGAAAGGGCACAATTCTGTTCCCCCGGCTGCCCCTCCCCAGGATCCTGCCCCCTCCCCCGGGACCCTGCCCCCTCCCCCTGGGATGGTGTCCCCCTCCCCCGGCATCCTGTCCCCTCCCCCGGGACCCTGTCCCCCTCCCCCAGGATCCCCGGCATCCTGTCCCCCTCCCCCGGGACCCTGTCCCCCTCCCCCGGCATCCTGTCCCCCTCCCCCCGGCATCCTGTCCCCCTCCCCCCGGCATCCTGTCCCCCTCCCCCGGCATCCTGTCCCCCTCCCCTGGGACCCTGTCCCCTCCCCTGGCATCCTGTCCCCTCCCCTGGCATCCTGTCCCCCTCCCCTGGGATCCTGTCCCCCTCCCCCGGGGTCCTGTCCCCTCCCCCGGGATGGTGTCCCCCTCCCCCCGGCATCCTGTCCCCCTCCCCCGGGACCTTGCCTCCCGCTCGGGAGCCGGAGGGGCTGTGGGAGATGAAAATAGGAAGGAAACGGAGCTGCTCTCTCAGCCCCACGCCCTGACATTTCCCTAAACCTGTTCCCGTGGACCTGAGAGCTACTTTATTTTAAAACATTTCTTTCTGTTGGGAGTTTTTTGGCTTTTTTTCCTGTTTAAAAGGGATTCCATCTGCGCGCCACAGACACACTGGCTTTCCTGCCAGGGCTGCCGAGGGCCCCTCCTCCTGTCTGCCCACAGGGGACGGGCCAGCAGGGGGGGCTCAGAGGCTCCGGCACCTGCGGAGCCCGCCTGGGACGGGGTGGGCGGGCAGAGCAATCCTGCACCCCGGCCCCTGCGTGTCTCGCCGTGGCCCTCCCACCTCCGAGCGGATCCGCTGCAGGAGGAGCCGTTCCCCGTGGGCTCTGCTGGGGAGTCCCCTCGGGGCCCTGGGGGCAGCTCCGCTGGTGGAGTGTCGTCCCGATACCCAGGCTGTGGGTTCGACCTCAGTCAGAAGCCATCAGTGGAGGCAGACATAAAGAGGCAACCGATCGGTGTTTCTCTACCACCCACTCCCTTCTCCCACCCCCTTCTCCCCCCCCCCCTCAAATCCATTGTTAAAAAACATCTCAGGCCCTAGCTGGTGTGGCTCAGTGGACAGAGCACCAGCCTGCAGAGTGAAAGGTCCCAGGTTCGATTCCAGCCAAGGGCACAGGCCTGGTTGTGAGCTCTGTCCACAGTGGGGGGCGTGCAGGAGGCACCTAATCCATGATTCTCTCTCATCATGGATGTTCCCATCTCCCTCTCCTTTCCTCTCTAGAGTCAATAAAACACATATATTTAAATATTAAAAACTCTGAGGGCCAGCTGGAGTGGCTCAGCCGCCGAGTATGGACCCATAAACCACGAGGCTCCCGGTTCGATGCCCGGCCTGGGCCCCAGCCCGGGTTGCTGGCTCGGTCCCTGGCAAGGGGCGCGCAGCCCACGCACCCATGTTTCCATCTCCCAATCCCTCTCCCTTCCTCTCTCTAATATCAATGTTTAAAGTATATTTTTTAAAAATCCCAATGCCTCTCCTCGGGCCGCCCCCTCCATCTCTATTTGGTTTTAAGAGCGAACGCTGAGCGGTGTTTGTCCACGGAGCCTGCCCCTCGGCCGGCCGCGCGGGCGGGCAGCTCCCAGGGCGGTGGCTGGCGGCCGCCCCCCAGGGGGGGGGGGGCGTCCCCACTGACAGCGAAGCTGCCGGTGCAGCTTCGGCGCCGCCTGCCGGGACCCCCGCCCGGCGGGCGCACACGGGGAGAGGGTGGGGTGTCTGTGCCGGCTGAGCCGCCGCAGGAGACAGCGGTCCTACACTCGCTTGAAGCCGCGAACAGGATGACGCATCCGTCGATCGTGCTGATAATCGCCGCGTCTCCTCGCCGCTTCCCCCTCTCCCTCCTGACGTGACAAATGGGAGGCGGCTCCGGCGCCGACTTCTTTCGCGATGAAGCGAACTTCCGCCGTGTCCGCGGGGAGCCCTCCCGCCGGAGCGCGCTCTGCGTCCGTGGGCGGGGCGGCCTCGGGTCCGCACACCGGGGCGCGCCCGCCCCCGGGGCTGCGGGTTCGAGGCGGGAGAAACAGCTGCCCGCCTGACGCCGCCTCGGCCTTCGGAGTCGGCCCGGGGCCTCGGGGCTGTGCCGCCGAGGCGAGCTGCTGCGGCGCGGAAGGCCCTCCGGCCCACGTCCGCTCCCCCGGGGACGCCGGCGGAAGGCAGCGGGGCGTCTGGCGGGAGAACAGGCTGTGGGTGAGCCACCGCCGGAGAGAACCCTGAGGAGGGAACCGGCTACGTGACCTCATGGTCTCCGGGAGCCCGGGAGCGTGGCTCCGTGGCTGAGCGCCGACCCGTGCACCGGGAGGTCACGGTTCGATTCCATGGTCAAGGGTTGTGAGCTCCGCCCCCAGCGGGGGGCGTGCAGGAGCAGCCGATGGGTGGTTCTCTCGTCATGGATGCTTCTCCCTCTCTCTCTAAAAGGCAATGAAAACAGGTTTAAAAAAAAAAAAGAGCTTTGAAAATGATCAATCATTGCATCTCCTAGAAATGTGGTCAGGCCTCTGAGGATGTCCGAGGTGCCGAGGTCACGGTGGCTGCAGGGGCGCTGTCCGAGGTGCTGAGGTCACGGCGGCTGCAGGGGGCGCTGTCCGCGGTGCTGAGGTCACGGCGGCTGCAGGGGCGCTGTCCGCGGTGCCACACACACACCCCACCCCGCTCAGGGGCGCACACGACGACACACGCCGATCACGCGTGGCCTGGTGCACGCGCCGCTGCACCCTCTCGGATGGGCTGTGCACGCTTCCCGTCTTCATCCACTTCAGCTCCAGCGGCCAGCGCCCCGGGCGAGAGGCCGGGAGCCGCGGGGCCGAGGCCGGGGGAGGCTGGCTGCGGGAGCTGGATCACCCGGCCAGCACCTCGCGAAGCTAATGTGTCGCCAACATCGGGCGGCGCTCCCACGCGAGCGGCGTCTATAAAATAAGCATATGGCGTGCGGAGCTGCGGGCCCATAAATAGCCACACAGACTGGAGGCCGCGGGGCTTCCGATCCGGATGAGGGAGCTCCGCCCGGGAGCTCGGGGACGCGCAGAGCAGTAAACACCACGCAGGCACCCGCGCGACGCACACGGGAACAGGCCGGCCGGCCGGCGCGGGCGCTGAGGGTGCCCGTGAGCACGCGGACGGCACGCCGGTGGCCGGAACCTCCGTCACGCTGTGGGCGGCTTCTGGGGCCCCTTTGGCTTTTGTACTTTTTCTTTTCAGACTAGAGGCCCGGTGCATGCAGTTTGTGCACTGGGGGGGGGGTGTTGTCCCCCAGCCCAGCCTGCACCCTCTCCGATCTGGGACTCCTTGGGGGATTGGGCCTAAACCGGCAGGTGGACATCCTTCTCACAATCCGGGATGGCTGGCTCCCCCAACCGCTCGCCTGCCTGCCTGCCAGCCTGATCACCCCCTAACCACTCCCCTGCCAGCCTGATCACCCCCTAATCACTCCCCTGCCAGCCTGATCACCCCCTAACCACTCCCCTGCCAGCCTGATCACCCCCTAACCACTCCCCTGCCAGTCTGATCGCCCCCTAACCACTCCCCTGCCAGTCTGATCGCCCCCTAACCACTCCCCTGCCAGCCTGATCGCCCCCTAACCACTCCCCTGCCAGCCTGATTACCCCCTAACCACTCCCCTTCCAGCCAGATCACCCCCTAACCACTCCCCTTCCAGCCAGATCACCCCCTAACCACTCCCCTGCCAGCCTGATCACCCCCTAACCACCCCCCTGCCAGCCAGATCACCCCCTAACCACTCCCCTGCCAGCCTGATCACCCCCTAACCACTCCCCTGCCAGCCTGATCACCCCCTAACCACTCCCCTGCCAGCCAGATCACCCCCTAACCACTCCCCTGCCAGCCTGATTACCCCCTAACCACTCCCCTGCCAGCCTAACTGGTCAAGGCCTAACTGCTCCCCTGCCCGCCCGATCGCCCCTAACTGCCCTCCATCTTGTGGTGGCCATCTGTGACCACACGGGGGAGGCCATCTTGTGTGAGGGCAGGAGGGTCAGCTTGCATATTATAAAAACACCCGGTTATTTATACCGGCCCTGCCGGCCCACGGAGGATGCCACGGCCGCCGGCGAGCGGGCGCAGCTGTTCCCCGTGTGCCACCCGGCTCCTTCCGACCGGTTCCCCACCCCCTCCCATGCCCACCCCCTCCACCCTCCCGTCCTCCTTCCCGTCCCAGGGCCAGCTGCCCGCTGTCCTCACCGGACCCGCACCTGTGAGCCTGGCTCACTCCCACCGCCTGCACCAGGGACCCCTGCCTCCCAGCACCCCCTCCCCCAATCCCGGCCTCCAACCCCCAACCATTGGCCTCCGACCTCCGACCCCTAACTCCCAGCCTCCGACCCCCGGCCTCCGACCCCCAACCTCCGACCCCCAACCTCCGACCCCCAACCCCCGGCCTCCGACCCCCAACCCCCGATCTCTGAACCCCAACCCCTGACCTCCGAACCCCAACCCCCGGCCTCCGACCCCCAACCTCCGACCCCCGACCCCCAACCCCCGGCCTCCGACCCCCAACCCCCGACCTCCGAACCCCAACCCCTGACCTCCGAACCCCAACCCCCGGCCTCCGACCCCTAACCCTTGGCCTCTGACCCCCTAACCCCCGGCCTTCGACCGACCGCCGGCCTCGCTAGTGGAAACCCAGTGGAGCCTCTGCTTCCTCCTGACGCCATA